GTGATACAAGTTTGAAAATTATTAGATACATTTTCGAATTATGCAAGCAGTGTATATTTACAACTTAAAGTTGGTGGTCGTATAGGAAATTCACGAACAGCCCCATAAGTCTGCGTTTGTGAGTTGATGTAAGGCTCTCATTCCTAAATAATGAACGGTTTGTTTATTTCGAAGTGATTACCAAGCTTGTATGCCGTTGCCACTGTACAATGTTCAATGTGTATTGATATAGCACTTTCAAACGTACCTCTGTGAGGTTAAATTGACGTCTTTTCTGGAGTTTTCGAATAAGTATTTCGAAGTTAAATACGTATTGATCTGGAATTTTTAAACATACCTCTGTGAGGTAACATCGAAACATGTAGAGTCAACTTTTTAGTGGTTATAGATTGGCCTTAATTAATTTGTTTTTAATTGTGTAGCTATTTTAACGTTGTTTGTTATATATTATTTTAACATTATACACAAGTGCCAAGAAATAATACTCAGAATCCCCTGTATTATGTATAGCATAAACCCACATCATACTGTTACATAAAATTGTCACAGACAGCTTTTTGTCTTTCTACGCAAACTTTCGTTAATTTGTAACTCTAGAATACTACAAAAATGTAAAATGGCTAAAAGCGCAAAGGCTATATTTTTAGCGCAAAGCCACACAATGGACTTTTGCGCTCTATCAACTTCGGGGAATTAAACCCCGAATTTTAACTTTGCCAGTCTATAAACCTACCGCTGACCTACGGAGAGGGGACAAACGCAGCAGAGGTTAATTAGCTCAAGTTTTTCTTCACCATTTTTGTGCTTGGTGTTATATTTTTTGTTTGGGAAATCCTAACATATATTGTAAACATCCCTGATATATCTACGATATTTACTTTGTATGACACAATTGTACATGTTTGTTTGAAGTTAAGCATAAAGCTACACAATGGACTATCTGTGCTCTGCCCACCACGGGTATCGAAACCCGGTTTCAAGCGTTGTAAGTTCGCAGACATGCCGCTGTACCACTGGGGGCTTCTACATGTTACCGCTTCAACGTTTCAGGTTTTTGTCTTTCATTTTTCTGTATTTTTTTACTGAAATAATCTAGTAAATTATTGGATTGTCTAATATTATTATTACTCACAAATTGGCTTTATTTGTTGGTTAGATTTAATTGCTCTAGGTTCTATACGTTTTCACTATTCAGTAACTATACCACCACTCTAATTTGGAGTATGTTAAATCTTAATTAATTAGAGCCATATTATTTACTGTTGCTAATAATTGTACGATTTTCCTTATTCCTTATAATTCGTTATTTATACAAATATTTTAGGACTTATTTTGTAACTGTCTTCAAGGAATTAACGGATTCTTTCCAATCCTGTGACCAGTTAGCGTAATCTCTTGTTTTATTTTTGTATTTCAGTTTCATGAACGTTAGACTAGAAATGCAAAGTTGTATTTTTTGCTAGCTTTTCTTTTTTTTTGACATCAGTATGCGTCTCCAACATCTGTGGTGTGTGTTGATTGATGCTGGTTAACCAAATTGATCTTAATACCCAACATAAATTGCTACACTAAGTATTCCTAATCGTAGTCGCGATACTTGTGTGATACCGCAGCAAATCAGAAACTATGAGCACTCACTACTAATCACAATCAGAACATCACTCGGGCTTTTCCATCTTACCTAGCAAAAAAACAACAACAACATTATCTGATGTAATTGGAGACCGTGTTTGTACTACTTTCGATCAAACTCAAATGTCTTACTCAAAGTGTTACCACTAACTAGGTGACTAACAATAACATATTTCCAGTGTGACAGTTGTAGATGAATGACCGAAGTTAAAGCTACTATAAGCAATGGTGTTTTTGTATTAACACAAATACACAAAAATTACCTACACTAAATGAAGTAAACAATATGAAATTGCCATAATAACTCAAAAATATTAGTAATTTTAGTTAAGATGCCTTGCTTAACGCGCGTAATTTACGAGAAGGATAGATTTTGGACATTTGCCTCGTTTATGTTATAGGAATGGCCACTACTACCAAAGTGCACTTGTTTTTGTTTGGTTTGTTTTTTTCTTAATTTCGCGCAAAGCTACACGAGGGCTATCTGCGCTAGCCGTCCCTAATTTAGCAGTGTAAGACTAGAGGGAAGGCAGCTAGTCATCACCACGCACCGCCCACTCTTGGGCTACTCTTTTACCAACGAATAATGGGATTGACCTTCACATTATAACGCCCCCACGGCTGAAAGGGGCGAGCATGTTTGGTGTGACAGAGATTCGAACCCGCGACCCTCAGATTGCGAGTCGAGTGCCTTAACCACCTGGCCATGCGGGGCCCCCAAAATGTACTTCAGAGACGATGGGTACTTTAGTAAAGTTTGAAACCATTGTTTATTTCCACACTTTTCATGATAGAAATATATTTTAATACGTGAAACATTATTACAGCTCAGCAATGTTATTGAAAAGAATGGAAGTGTAGCACTTACAAAGTTTACTGGAGCTATTTTTCTGCGTGACAATAAATGTTCTTCACCGGAGGCGAATCACCAAAACCCGTCAAATCGATATGCATTTCTACTATTGCATCCAAGTGTTGTTTTTGTCTAGGTACGACGGAAATGCCAGGGAGATATGTAGCACCCGAATTCTGCTGTAACATCAGACATAAAAATAGATCAATAGACATTTATCAATGTATATATATATATTTATTTATTTATTTATCTATGTGTGTGTGTGCAAGTTAAATTTTTTTACATGAATGTAATACATGAAAGCAACGAGTAAAAACAATTAATTGACTAACGTGTTATCAGACTGCATATTAAAAAGTCACACAAAAAGTTAGCGAGGTACTCTATATTTACGAATTGTTCAGTAATAGCTCTCTTTTTTTTTTAGATGTATTCGCACTGATCAACTAGTACGGGTTGGGCAAACTTTGTAAAAATATCCCTTATGTGTACGCCACAGAGCACTAGAAAATATAAAATCCCTGAAACAGAGTTTACTATGCATTTTGTCACTGGTTCAGTGGATTGTTAGGCATAACTTTCACAATAAGAAAATTATGTGATTGCTAAATATCCGAGCAACTCAAGGGGCCCCCAATCGAGGGAATGTTTCTTCACTTTTACTTGTTTTAGTATTCTACTCGTGTGAGAAAAAAAAATGCTTTCAATAAAAACGATCCAAAAAACTCGTCATTCAGCAACAGTCAAATATATTTGCGGTGCACATGCGCTGATTGGCTGCACGACTTGAGAAAGCACGATATTGTATGCTATGTATTAACTTATTGTTGGAGACCTTAAACTATAAGAAGTTAATACATAAGATATTTAGAGTTTCTCAAAGTAAAAGTAATAACTTATTTCTGGAGCCCTCATCCACCCTTAAAAATACTAATAATATTTCTTCAAACCAAGAATACACTACACAATACATACTAATACATTTGTTAAAAAGTAATTTATGTTCTCATACTAACACTAGTGCTTCGGTATCTTTCTCAAGTCAAAGAAAGAGACCCTAAAGTCACGTTGTAATTTGGTTTTCAAATTATTTTTAAAGTAAATTTCAGCTTCAAGAAATATAACCTTAGAAGCATGATATTGTGTGCTATGTCTTAACCCATTGTTGAATACCTTAAGAGTGTAGGACGGCGGAAAGCAATTTGTTTGGCAATAAGGGGATGCGAACCATGAATCCTCAGAATTACAGTCTGGCATGCTAAATACTGAGCACTTGGCCCGAATCAGCAGAAAGAATCAATAATTATTAAGCCATACAGGTTGGGACTTACAGTTTCCTTTGTGGCTTGCCAAAATTTTATTATTATAAAAAATGTAAAATATCAAAGAACTTCTATTCTGAGTTCTTATTTTACAAACACATAGTATCAATAAAGTAGTACAGGGGCGTTGCTTGCCCATTGGAACCCTTAAGTAGGAATAAAAGAAGGCAGCTAGTAAACACCATCCACCGCTAACTCTTGTGTGATACCTGCCAGAACGAATAGTGAAAGTTGACCTTTACCTTTTAACTCACCCACAGCCCCAAAGTGCTCTAGTCAATAACTTCAAAATTAGGAACGATTAGCGCAGATATCTCTTATATAGCTTTGCACGAAATTCAACAAACAAACAAACTTACTGATTCTTAAAAATCCTTTAAAAAATTGCTTTAAATCATTGTTATTATTTATGATTTGAAATGAATTTCCACCGGGGAGAATGAACGCCTAGATATAATTATACATGCACGTTTATAGATATGGTTTTTAAAGGAATAAAACATTAATCAATGTTAATATGAGCCACATAATTCTAAGCCACAATGGTGAAACGCAAATATGGGAGTACGTTTAGTCTGAAGTTCTTTATTTTTTAACTACTTTAATATATTTAGGACAAAACTGCTTAAAAGCTATCTGTCGCCTCTCTAATTTGAAATACTGACCATAAGGAAGGCAGCCAGTGAACAACACCCTACCATACGCCAGTCACGCTATAGGATTTACTGTTACTTTTAAAACGCACATTTAGCATAAAGGGCGCGGAATATTTTGGGGTATCGCAAGCATTCGAACCCGGCTCGCTAGCTTCGAGATTCTGAGCTCTACTACAGGGCCAACCCTAGCCCTGTAGCTTAATGACTCATGAGGCCATATAGTCAGCTTTCTGCAGACAGTTTACTTATTTCTTTTATTTGTATTTTTCAAACCTTTTTAAAACTTTGCCTTTTTTTAAATTAATGATCGTGAAGTTCGTGTCATTTGTAACGTGATGCTTAAAGCTTTATTAATTTCAGATGAATTAAAATATGAAGTTTGATGCTTATTGTTTTCCTTTTAGATTCTAAAACGAATAAAAATTAGCCAACCGGACAGTATAGTGTGTTTAACGTAAACGCGGCTATTGTAGGCTAACACATAAAGGTTATATATCTAGTTCTTCAGTTGACATTTGTCAATTATTTTCTCAGGTTATTTGACGTAGGAGGTCAAAGGTCAGAACGAAAGAAATGGATTCATTGCTTTGAAGATGTAACGGCTATTATATTTTGTGTTGCTATGAGTGAGTATGATCAAGTGCTTCACGAGGATGAGACTACAGTAAGTAAAAGTTATCACATTTAAATCTTGTTTTAGGTAGAGGTCATCACTAAAGTAAATTGCATTTTAAATAGTAATTTGTCTGTAAATTAATTTTCTTAATTCTACTCTTTTGGCCTTGAACATTTGTTGACGTATTTCCAGGTGTGGCTTACTGAAAATGAAAATAGTTATCACAAGTTAAAGTGAATCATATAGCCTCACCACATAGTGGAATGTCCACTGACGTATCGTTGTAACATATTTGCATTTTAAATAGTAATTTGTCTGTAAATTAATTTTCTTAATTCTACTCTTTTGGCCTTGAACATTTGTTGATGTATTTCCAGGTGTGGCTTACTGAAAATGAAAATAGTTATCACAAGTTAAAGTGAATCATATAGCCTCACCACATAGTGGAATGTCCACCGACGTATCGTTGTAACATATTCTATCGCTGATCGTGTTCTTTAGAATTATCTTCTAAAAATAATACGAAATTTAGTCCACGTAACGATAATAAATTTGTTTATTTCTTCCTTAAAGTTTATTACAGGCTCTTTTCACTTGTAGACGGTTGTAAGCCAAAGTTCAGAAAGAAAATTTTTAACATAAACTCCACAACTAAACGTAGCCTTATCTTTAAATACAGCGTTTCAATACAAAGTGAGAAAAGTAGGCATAACAGAACTATCTTTGTTATATAAACAAACAGTTAACTCACTAAATAACTGAATGACAGAACAGACTCAAAAACTCCCATTGAACACTAAATGCTTCACTGAACGAACTGAACTGCTTACTCTTATCTATATATATAGTGTACTAATCTAGGTGTCAGTCGAATTTACTAGATCTTATCTCTTAGCACCTTCTAGCTAACACCTAAATTACTGTTGTAAACTTACAACACAGTACAATCAGAAAGTACAAAATGCTTTTGTTTTAAACAGGAGTTATTCACTATATATATATATATATAATTTGTAACAGCACTGTTTTATCTTTTGAACGTAGTATGTTTCTTTCTTAATTTAGACTAATACCCCCCCCCCCCGAATAAAAGATCAAGCCGATAATGAAAGAAAAAATGCAACAGTATTGTATACTCACTGCCCTTCCGTTTTATTTTTTATCGCGTTTATTAATTAGCTTTTTATATTACAAAGTCTACTTCATTATATGTATGCGTATTTATTTACTGAATACGTTAAACAATAAAAAAAACAATAACAATAAGTCAGTAGTTCTACGACTTACCTCTGATCTAGCGAGACTTATAAAGATGAAATGCCTTACTTAGGATAAACAATAAGATGATTTGTGTAATATTTCTACATAAAAGATCAAAGTTAGTCATCGTGACTCCGTCAGTCCTAGAATTGAATAAAACATTCATAATATTTTTTCAAATTATAATTTTTCCTCATGTATTTCCTTTTACTCACCGTGTGTATTGCTTTTCAAGAACCGTATGCAAGAGAGCTTGAAGCTTTTTGACTCCATCTGTAACAACAAGTGGTTTACAGACACCTCAATTATTCTCTTCCTCAACAAAAAGGATCTCTTTGAAGAGAAGATAAAGAAATCTCCTCTCACCATCTGCTTTCCAGAGTACACAGGTAGATTTCAGAATAAACTATTATATAAACTCTATAATTAAGCATCAGCAATACATATATATATATGTATTATCTTCAGCTATAACTGTCAATCTTGAAAACTTGCATCAGTAAACTACGGTATTATATAATTTTGAAACTACCCCACCCCCAGTTTTATCTCCTATATAATACTATTGCACCCAAAAGTATTAGTAAAATATGTAAAAAAGTATTGGTTCTAATCCGGTTAAAATAGCACATAGTACTTATTTAGTTTTTTACATATTTGGTATCAAATGATTGAGTGAGATTACCCCTAGTCACTTAATGTTGAAGTAATTGTGTCGATGATATAGGGATATATGTTTCTAAGTGAGCCAAATCATACTTATGTGACTTGCTCGCGTCTAAATCGAAGAATTATATTACGTTTTGAAACCTAATAGAATCTATTGAATTAAACCTACAGATAATTATACTCGCCAAAACATTAGATTAAGAAAGTTCGAGAATCAAAAATATAAGTTCTAGTGGTAGTTCCCACATATCTCCTGGTGAGACAGCGGTAAGTCTACAACGCTAAAATCTGGGGTTCTATTTCCCTCGGTGGGCACAGCAAATAGCCCAATGTGGCTTTGCTCACAAACAAACACACAAATACTTTCCCCAATATAATGGTGTGACACTGTTACGTATAAACAAACACACAAATACTTTCCCCAATATAATGGTGTGACACTGTTACGTATAAACAAACACACAAATACTTTCCCCAATATAATGGTGTGACACTGTTACGTATAAACAAACACACAAATACTTTCCCCAATATAATGGTGTGACACTGTTACGTATAAACAAACACACAAATACTTTCCCCAATATAATGGTGTGACACTGTTACGTATAAACAAACACACAAATATTTTCCCCAATATAATGGTGTGACACTGTTACGTATTAGAATTTCAAATGGTCTGTAATCGAGTTAACTGATAATTTAAATTTAGTAGTTAAATGGTATTTTGGATTTAGTATTTAAATAAATGCCGATATATAGTCAGTTTGTAATATTTGCCAACAAGATTGATACACAGTTTTCTTTTATTTTAACACAAATGCGTTTTAATATACACACAACAGTACAATTTACAATAACAATTATTACAAATTGTTATTACAAACAATGATTTATAAACAAAAGTTTTACAAACTTACAAACAATATAAAGCCTTCTTTCTAGTCTGGAACTTCCTTGATATCTTATCGATGGTTCACGATGAGCGAATTAATTACGAGTTGATTTAGGTACGATTCACTTACAGGAGCTAGCTTGCCCTGTAGTCTTCATTGTTCATACGCCTATTAGAGATTGAGTTTCCACCGATGACGTTAGGTAGCGTTTTCGTAAAAGTATTAA